GCCCTGAATATTCATTGGAAGGACTGATGCTGAAGCTGAAGCTCCTATACTTTGGCCACCTGATGTGAAGAGCCAACTCGTTGAAAAAGACACTGATGCTGGGAAAGATTGAGGGCAGGAGGAGAAGGGGGCAGCAGAGGATGAGATGGTTGGATGGCATCATTGACTCAATGGACATGAGTTTGAGCAAACTCTGGGAGATAGTGAAGGACAGGGAAGCCTGGCGTGCTGCAGTCCATGGGGTCACAGATAGTCAGACTCAATTTAGTGACTGAATAACAACAACAATATGGATCAGGCTTCCCAGGTAGCTCAGTGGTAAATAATCCACATGCCAATGCAGGAGACACAGAAGATGTGGGTTTAATCCTTGGGTCAGGAAGATTCCCTGGAGAAGGAAATGGCAACCCACTCCAGTATTCTTGCTGGGGAAATCCCAAGGACAGAGGAGCCTGGCAGTCTATAATCCATGGAGTCACCAAGAGTCAGACATGACTGAGCACACACACACACACACACACACACACGACCCAGGGCACATGAGGGAAGACTGTTTAGGAGAGGTCAGACACCATTGTAAGCCTTGAGAAATTATACTGTCCAATCTGAAAGGTGGAGTGTTTCTATGTCAATCACTATGCCAAAGATAACTGCTCATTTCTGAGGTTATTTCTGAGGTTGTTTAGTCACTAAGTCGTGTCTGACTCTTTGTGACCCCATGGACTGTAGTCTGCCAGGTTCCTCTGTCCTTGGTATTTCCCAGGCAAGAATACTGGAGAGGGTTGCCATTTCCTTCTCCAGGGGATCTTCCTGACCCAGGGATCGAACCTGCATTTCCTATGTTGGTAGGCAGATTCTGTACCACTGAGCCACCAGGGAAGCCCACTCATTTCTGAGGTAGGTGATGCTTATTCTTCCTCAGGGGACACTCAACCTGTGCTGGAGGAAGGAGAGCCTCCCAGGAGGACATTCATATACCCTAGATGATCCAGGTGAGAAACTCCCTGGGTGCCAAGGCTTGCCTGGAGAAAAGATCACCCAGGCATCTAAGCTCTGGGAGGAGGCATCTGGATGACAAGTAAATTTTCTTTGCTGACATGCTAACATTTAATTGAAGGAGAATGTGCTGCAATAGTATTTTGAGATACAAGTGGATTTTTTTCTTTCCCCCCTTTCTATTTTCTCTCTTCTCCCCCAAAGTAGTCACCTTTGTGGTATATCTCAGGGGAGAGAGGTGGAAAAGCAGGAAAACAAATACTCTGCCAGTCTCTATGACTTTCATGTTCCAAAAGTGTAAGCCCTAGGGAAGGTGGATTGGGTGCAGGTGCAGAGATGAAGTATCTGAGCCAGGAAACTAGAAGGGAGAAAGATTTGCATTAGCTTAAAAAAAGGATTTTTCTTTTCCTTACTCCCCTCTTCTTGGGGTGAACGATGCAGAGAGTGCTCTCTGGGAGCTCAAGCAGCATATACTTCGAGAAGCAACACTTGGTTGGCATGAAGACTCAACAGAGAAAGAGCTGTGTAAAATGTCTAGGTGGATGGAATAGCAAGTGACCCTGGCATTGAGTTCTGTGCCCCCAAGTGTGGAAGAGATATTGGTGAGGACACAGCACCTGAAAAATTCCATGTGGGCAGAAGGCTAGCAGTTATTGACAAGATCTAAGGACTTGGAAGCATATACCTTTACTGTACCCCCTTGCTTGGGTACTATGTAAGACCCCTAAACTATAGCATCACCTGGGATAAGGGAAAAGAACAAGAATGACATATTGTTTTCCCAAAAATCTGGTCAAAGGAGGGTTCAGGGTCAGAAACTGAGTTCCAAAAAGTGTCACTACTCTACTCAAGGCTGTAGTAGTCAGCTAAATTTTGATGTTCATCTTAGTTCTATCTTGTTGGTTGAGGAGTTACCATCTGTGTGGTAAAGAGGAGATCAGCACCTAGTAGGGCCATGAAACTAACCCCCATCCCCACCCCTGTGGGATGCTGGGTTCAGAAAATAGTTCCTGTGAAGACTTTGCTAATTTTTTGGCACCAGAGCCTTCAGACAAGATAAACTAGATTATTGGAAGGATGTTTTCCTGGAATAATGTAAAGCCGAATTACAAGTGGTCGATATGAATTAAATTTTCTATCTGGTGAATAGAAACATCACAAATGCCATTTGAGAGTAAGTGGAAACCAGTGGATCAGAAAGGAATGGTCCCTGCCATACATTGCTGGCTACTATAATTGCCCATTCCCCTTTCTGCTTATGGTGGCATTTGTGCTGAGTTACGGACAGGTTTTTTCAAACAGAAGAGCGCACGTGTCAATAAAAGGTCTAAATTGAGAAGGGCCTGTCTTTGGATGGGAAGCAGACTTAAATTTGATTTTCTAATTTCTGAGATTTGTAAAAGTAATACTACTTCATAGTTGTTTAGCAAATGTTTAACTGAAGAAGAAGACCTTTGCAGAAGGGTTCACATCTGAGCAGCCTGATGGGCTAACACACAAGGCTCAGAAATAAACGAAGAGGAGCAGGCCACAACTGAGGGAAGTACCTGTTGATTTTCCTAAAGGTGGATAGATGTGTGTGGTGGTGGGAGTAAGGTGACATTGAGAAATAAAAGGAAAAAGGCACAAGTTTGTAGTTACCATCTCAGTGGGAGTTGGGACCTACAAAAGCTTGAAATAACTTGGTAACCTTTGATAGTGCCCTTTGGTGGTTATTTAGCTGTACTTCCTGTTTTCCCCATGTGCTGTGTGTGTGTTTCCATGTGCTAAGTAACTTCAGTCGTGTCTGATTCTGTGCGACCCTATCGACTATAGCCTGTCTGGCTCCTTTGTTCATGGGATTCTCCAGGCAAGAATACTGGAGTGGGTTGCGGTGCCCAGCGATCCGCGTCATAAGTATCCTGCATTGGCTGGCATGTTCTTTACTACTAGCGCCACCTGGGATTCAACAGGGAAAAGGAAATATCTTCAGGGACAGTGAGGGAAGACCGAGTTTGGGAGACCCCATCCGTTCTACAGCTAATTTGGAATGCAGAGACCTTTCAGGTAAGGTGGTTGCACTATGTGAAAAAATCACATCTTGCTCTTTCAATTTTAGCTACAGGTGGAATAACTGAACCTCATAGTCCTGAATTTAGTTCCTCAGAGTCTCCCTCCCTTGTCAAAAATGGAAAGGGGGTGGATTTGTTAAGGGCACACACGGGTCTCGTTTCCTTATATGTTCTGGCAATACTAGGATTAATAAGTGACCTTTAAGATGAAAGGTGCAAAGACAAAAAACAAGGGCTACAAGGTCTCCCATCATTCCACTCCCTTTGGACTTTGGAAACCTCAGTTAAATTTATTGATTTTTTTTTTTAAAGCTGAAAAAGGCTGAGGTTCTGAGGTGTACAGTACGAAAAAGAAAATGGTGGAGAGGAGAGATTAGTACAGCTCTGTGATGGGGCTCCGAGGTTGGGCATTTGAAAATATTAGCCTGGCATTTTCCACACAGTCTCCTACCCTCAGGGCATCCCGCTAAAGCTTGAGGGGCATTCAGAAAGAAATCCCGCCCTTTAGGAGTTTTCTTCAGGGTCTCTGATACCAGATGCAACCTGAGGGACTGAAAATTTCATGGGATCTGGAGTGAATACACCTGGGTTAAATTTCTGACTTCCATACATAGTTATGCAAACTTGAGCAAGTCATGTCCATTCCTCTCAGTTTCCTCCCCTGGAGAGTCAGGATTGCTCACGTGAGAGCGATAGAAACAATTCTGTATTGCACTTGATACAGGGCAGGAAGCTGTTCTTAGATAAAGTCACTGCGCGGAGGTTAACCTGCTGTGAAACCTCAAAGAAGGTAGCAGTCACTAACAACTAACTAGTGAATCTGGAAGGTGGACTGTAGGAGACGGTGAGAGCCAGCCTCAGGGGGAGGTGGCCTTTTCGCATGCGCGCAATCTTGGAGCCCGGCGGAGCAGCGAGGGGGAGTGGCCAGGTTTCTGAGGGGTTGCTATGGTACCGAGGGGCCAGGGGAGGTTAACTGAACCCTTAAAACATTATTCCCTCCCCCACCCTCTGCTGCCTCGGCTGAGGGCCATTGTTCCCGGCAAAATGGTGTCAGTAATCCCCCTCTTGGATAGAGGCCTAAGTAAGGCTGAGGTGGGAGTGGGACTGGAGGTGGGAACAAAAACTACAATTCCCAGGGTACACCGCACCCGCCCGCGAGGCGCAGGGCACGTGCCCAGGCCTAGCGGTTACATGCCGTCAAAAATCCGTTTCATAGCTTCCCTTTCCCATCCCTGCTTTCGTGGTTGCCCAGCCCCCGCGCGCGCGCACTGCGGTCCTGGAGGGTAGGGGGGACATGCTATGGCTATTGCCGTCGCAGCGTAATCGGGAGACCGGTATTTGTAAATATGTGCTTCGACTTCTAATCCCGAAGCCGGCAGGTATGGGTCTCGCGAGAGAAGTCGAGAGTTGGAAAAAGGGAGTTAGGGGTGGCGGGTGAAAAGATGCTGGCGAGTACCACATCTCGGCCGAGCGACCACATTTAGAGACATGTAGAGAACTGAGAATGGGCGTTGGGTATCTAGGAAGAAGTGTGTGCTTGGATTCTTTCTTTTGAAGGGAAAAGGGTAAAGCAGCCGTGGAGAGCTTTTGAACACACATGAGATGTCACGCGTGGCTCCTCACAGATTTTCTTTTTGGAAAAGAGTGAAGCCTTTCTCTTGACGAGCATCCCTCTCTCCCGCTGCGCTGAGGCGAGCGGGAGAGGAGTGCGCACGCTCTAGTTGGGTAGCTACTTGGCGCCTCGCTGCGATAGGGGCAGTTCGGAGTTGGGGCTGCTCCGTCTGTTTTCTCCGCCCCTCCCCCCTCCTTTCTCCCCCTCCCTTCCTCGCCCCCCTCCGTCCCCCTCTCTATCTGAATTCCCTGACAGGAGTACGCGTGCGCCTCCTCAGCTCCCGGGCAAGCGCGAGCTTGGGCTCGTACCCCGCTCCCTTAGCCCCGCCCTCTCTTTACCTACCAGCGGTAGCTGGCCGGGTGGGCTCGCGCTGGGACGCTCGTGCGCGCACGCGCACACAACGCGGAGCGGAGCGCGAGACATCGAGGAGGGGAGTAAGAAGCATCTGAGGAGGGGACAGAGGAGGCGGTGTGTGTGTATCTGCGTGTTCTACGGTGCGGCTACTCGAGGGGCGAGCGGAGGCTTGAAAGAGGGCGAGGGAGAAGCGAAAAGAGTCTCCCTCAGCGAGAGCCTCTAATCTGGTGAGGGTCCCGAGCCGGCCGGGACGGTGGGAGTGAGGGAGGAGGCCGGGGGGCGTGTCTGGGATCCGGCTGAGAGATGAATGGGCCGGGGATGAATGGAGGGGAGGCAGCGGCGACCAAGAGTCTGTTCAGAGTAAGCGCGTTAGTGGGGGGCGGTTTGACTGAGGCAGGGTGATTTCAGTCGCCGAGATGTGTGGGACGAGGCCCGGCTCGGGTCGTTAAGAGTTGTCGGAGCTGCTTTCGGTGTGAGCCAACAGGCTGAGAGGAAAATTCGGAGGGGGAAAGTGGGGAAGCGCAGGTTTGAGGTTGAGGTACATTTTCTTTTTTTGGTCATTTTCGTTGAGGACTGGCAACTTTGGGAGTTGATGGGAGCCTAGGGGACGGGCGGGGGGGCGGGGGAAGGTGAGGCGGTTACGTTGAGGGGACCGGGTGACGGTTGACAAAAAACTGAGTGATAATTTAAGTGAGATTGAGTCTACTGAAAGCGAGGATCGCGTCGGGTTTTGGAAGTTGAGTTTCAGTATATGAGGGAAAGTGAATTTAATTTAGAGATTCAGTTGATGTGTGAAGGTCGATAGGACTGTATTCTTGTGAGGAATGCTGCTGGCTGGTTGTGTTAATGGGTTGGTTCAAGGAGATTGAGAGGTGTTATTTGGGAACGGTGTGTTCTGTGACTGATCGGATGGGAAGAAGATGGTATGGTGAGGTTAGTATGAAAGTGGTGTACAGTACTGTACGAGGTTTTGTTTGTCTAGTTAAGAATGGTGAAACATTTATGTAGTGGGTTGTGGGTGGAAATCCTGCACGTGTGTATCTCCTATCTTGAGAGTTGATAGACCTTGTTAAAATGAGATTGAATCCTCAAAACAGATGCAAGTGGTATGGCTATTACTTCTTAAGAGTTACTGTGGACTGAAGCAATTGTATGATAAATAGCCTTTAAGTTGTGAAAATCTTCTGTATAGTGATGATTGCACTCAATTTGGGGAGGCATTGTTACCTGTTTTTCATCTGTAGTGAACTGTAATACCAAGAGAACTTTTAAAGAGGTCTCCATGTAATGACAACAAAATAGTCGAAGTCTTCTAGATAATCTCTGTTGTTTGGGTGGATGAATTTAAAAATTGTTTTAGTCAGCACTCCAAAGGAAAGATACCTTGCATTAAAGGATAGCTAAAATATCGATTTTGAATGCTAAAATAATTATACGTGATTTTTTCCATTAATCTGAATTTACCTTGTTTGAAAATTGACACTTTTTGGCGTGAGTTTAAATCACTGCACATTACTTGGACATGCTGTTCTTTGAATTCATATCTTCTGGTAAGGATGTCTTGTGATGGTCTCATTCTGTTCTGGGTCAAGATTAATAGTTTATGGGTTTCTAACTTTTCATGCTTACTTTTTACAAACTTTAATGACATATTCATTTATCTTGGAAATGTTGCAAATTCGAGAACTTTCCCATGCCCTTTTTCTTTTATTCTGCTTTGATATTGGAAAGAGTGTAATCCTTGTTTTGGCTACCCAGAGTTTAAAAAGTTAATACTCTGTTCATATTCTCTTCGATTAAATGAATACTTAATATACTAAGCAGTAGAATAAAAATATAAAAGCACCATGAAAGCCTGGAAATGTTGCACCAACTCTGGCAGGCAAGTTGGTCTCCCAGTTTCAAGCTAGATGTTCCTGGAGTGGAAGAACATTCAAGTATTGAGGCAGGAAAGTTTTAAGTATGGTATATTTGGGGAATGGAATGAGATAAGGCTGGAATCTCAGGTTGAGGCTGGAGTGAAGGACTACCTTGCAGAGTTAGGAGCTTTTGACTATTTACCAAGGAGTGAACAGCATAAGCAGATTTGTGGTGTTCATCTCTCTGGCTTTGCTTCTGATCCCCCCCACCCCGAATCTGGAATTCTCTCTCTCTCTCCCTCCCATTAAATTTTAATTCATTCTTTTTATACTGACCTCTGTTATTATTCATGAAAGCCTTTCCTGCTCCCCCATTTTTCCTTTTCCCAGCATCTCCCATCAGATTAGGTTAGGTGCCCCTCTTTAGTGGTCCTATAGTACCTTGTACATATTTTTATTACTGTACTTCTTTTGGGAAACAGGCAGGAAAGTTATTTTCCTTTTCATACCTCAGAGAGAAAACAAGGCTCAGAAAAATAAGACTCACCCTAGTAAGTAAATGGTCAATCCTGGAGTTCTGACTTCTAGGCCAATGTTGATCCCTGTATCACAAGTCTACATTCATTGATGTAATTATTCTATAGTGTTTTAGGAGTTAAATTTTTGTAATGTGAACTTTACCTTTCTTCCCTAGGGGAATTTCCTTTCATTTAGGTGTCTGTCACTTAGCCAGGAAATGATAAAGCCAATGGTTGCACAGAATCAAAGTAGTCAGAAGTAAAGATGAGAACTGCTATATTACTTTTAAATTTCTAGTCCAATAATTTACTTAAAAATATGGGAGGGCCTAAATTTTTGTGTGTATGTTTGTGTGTGAGGGGGGAGGGGTAGTGTGTAAGAAAAATCCCTTCCTTCCTCACTCTCCCATCTTAGTATAAGTAACCAACTCTGTTTGCAGATATACTTAATTATGTCTCTTGGCTAAAAACCAGAATACTTTCAGAGGGGTGGGTCTTTTCCATTTTTGTTTGAGATCATAAAGTTTATGGTACTGTTAGGAGATATTTGATGACTGTAAAGGACATCTATAAAGGCATTCATACAGAAATTCCCAAAGCTTCAAAGTAGAATTTGATGCCAGTTTTTAAAAATTTTTATCTATTGGTTTTATTTTTTGGCTGTGTTGGGTCTTCATTGCTTTCTCTAGTTGCAGTGAGCAGGGGCTACTGTACATTGCAGTGCAAGGGCTTCTCATTGTGGTGGCTTCTCATTGTGGGGCACTGGCTCTAGGTGCACGGGCTTCAGTAGTTGCAGCATGCGGGTTCAGTAATTGTGGCACACGGGATTAGTTGCTCTGTGGCATGTGGAATCTTCCTGGACCAGGGATCAAACCTATGTCCCTTGCACTGGCCAGCAGATTGCCATCCACTTTTCCACCAGGGAAGTCCTGATGCCAGTTTTAATTGTTTTGGTAGAGCTTGTTATGAGATATTTGGTTTGGAAAGTGTTGAGATTAACTTACTGCAGAAGTGAACCTTTATTGCCCCTTTCTTCAAGGAATATATTATTTTTTCATGAACTTTTTAGAAAGTTCTTATTTTCATAACCTTATAACTTTCTATTGTGATAAAATTTACATAACATAAAATTTACTATTTTGGAGTGTACAATTCTTAATTGCATTAAATACCTTAATAATGTTGCATATATAGTTCCAAAACATTTTCATCACTCCAAAAGGAAAGCCTATGTTCATTAGGTATTCACTCCCCATTCCTCTTTTCCCCCATTCCTTGGTCACCACTAATCTCCTGTCTTTATGGATTTGTCTATTTTGGATATTTCATATAAATGGAATCATATAATACATAGTCTTTTGTGTCTGGATTCTTTCACTTTGCATGTTTTTAAAAATCCACTCAAATTGTGGCATGTATCAGTACTTCATTCTTTTTTATGGTTGAATAATATTCCATTGTATGGATATACTACATTTTGTTTATTCAAAATGGACATTTGGCATCTTTCTCCCTTTTGGCTTTTGTGAACAATAATGGTATGAATATTTGTGTACAAGTTTTTGTTTGAACACCTACTTTCAATTCTTTGGGTATGTACAGGGTTATATGGTAATTCTTTAACTTGTTAAGGAACCATCAAACTGTTTTCCACAGTGGCTGCACCATTTACACCTCCAGTGTATAAGAGTTCTAATTTTTTCACATCTTCTCCAGCATTTGTTACATTTGGATTTTGTGTTTATGTGTGTGTGTATGTGTGTGTTTTATGGCCATCTAGTGGGTGTGTTGTGGTATGTCATTGTGGTTTTGATTCCCTTTTTACTAATAGCTAGTGCTGTGGAGCATCTTTTCATGTGCTCTTGTCTATTTAAAAATTTTTTTTTTAATTTCTTCTTTTAAGAAATGTCTAAGTCCTTGCTCATTTTTACATTTGGTTGTTTATCCTTTTATTGTTGAGTTGTAAGAGTTTTTAAAAAATATATTCTCAATACTAGAGCCTGATCAGACATATGATTTGCAAATTTTTTTCCACTCTTTTTTACTTGTTTATCTATTTTCCAGTTTTATTGAGATAAAATAATGATTTGACTTACGGACATCATGAAATGATTACTATAGTAGGTTTCAGTTCAGTTCAGTCGTGTCCGATTCTTTGCGACCCCATGAACTGCAGCACTCCAGGCCTCTCTGTCCATCACCAACTCCCGGAGACCACCCAAACCCATGTCCATTGAGTCGGTGATGCTATCCAACCATCTCATCCTCTGTCATCCCCTTCTCCTGCCCGCAGTCTTTCCCAGCATCAGGGTCTTTTCAAATGAGTCAACTCTTCACATCAGGTGATGCAAACCTATCATCTCATACAGATACAATGTTAAAGAAATAGAAAAAAATATTTTTCCTTGTGATGAGAACCCTTAGGGTTTACTCTCTTAACAACTTTCATGGGGACTTCCCTGGAGGTCCAGTGGTTAAGACTCCACGCTCTTAATGCATGGGGTACGGGTTCAATCCCTGGTTGGGGAATTGAGATCCTGCATACTGCATGGCAAGGCCGAAAAACAAAACAAAAAATTTCATGTGTGACATGCAGCAATACTAATTATTTTTATCATGTTAAATGTTATATCCCTGGTGGTGGTGGTTTAGTCACTAAGTCATGTCCGATTCTTGCAATCCCATGGGCTGGGAACCTACCAGGCTCCTCCGTCCATGGGATTCTCCAGGCAGGAATACTGGAGTGCGTTGCCATTTCCTTCTCCAGGGGATCTTCCTGACTTAGGAATCAAACCCAGGTCTTCTGCATTGCAGGCATTATACCCCTAGTGCTTATTTATCTTATAACTG